AACTAAGTTGAGCACGAAGCTCCTATCTAATGGCAGACGTGCCAGTCTTATATAGAACCTTCGTTCTCTCTACATCGCCTACATCACCTGTCGATGTAGTCGACCTCCTATCGCTAACATCGACTGTCGATACAGGCGATGCGATTGATCACGTGACTACATACACGAGAAATCCTTGGATCGCTTAGCTAGTCTAAGCATCCCTATTTGCTATAAGAAACCTGGATGTGCCTGTCGAGGGTTGCGCCTCTTTATTATGACAAGTATCACGTGAGCACGTGATTCGTGACAGAAGCCTAAAAGTATTTTTAATATACTAGCTATTTCGTATACTTAGAATAAATAGTTTTAGGCTTTACTTCTTAAATTTATTATTAAGAATAATCTCTTTTTTAATATTATTAGCTAACTAGAAATAGTAGCGCTAATATTATTCTTATTCTCTCGAATATAATAAATATCTTAGAAGACTTTAGTATAAGATTTATAGAATAAATACTATAGTATAGAGAATATTCTAATAGTTAAATTATAAAAGTATATTACTTTAAAAGTGTGACCGTGTGGAGTGTTGGATTGGCGGTTCTGGCCCGTGGAGACATGCGGAGAACCCCTTGGAGAGCTTGGCTGACGTGTGTGTTTGCGTCCGGCAGTTGATTTGTCCTTCTCAATAGTGGGAATAGGATCATTTGGAGAGTGTGTGTTGTGTGTCTGGAGAGCAGTGCGTAGCTGGGCTGTCTAAGAGACTCGAGTTTTGTCGTGATCTTGTTGTATTGAGTGAGAGTTACCAGCGGCGGCGAGAGAGGAGAGCTATCGGCTTGCTTGCGCTGTTCGAGAGTATGAGATTCTTCGTCCGTTGCTGGACGGCATTCGAGGCTCTAGCAGATGGTGTACGAGGGGTAGAGGCAGAGCGTCTACTCTTTCCTCGTCGTCCACTGCGAGCATTTCGAGAGATGGGTGGTTAGTGGTACCATCGTTCAGGGACATATAACGCGCACTGCGTTCAGTGATGTATAACGTGGTGTTGCCGTCNGAGTTACCAGCGGCGGCGAGAGAGGAGAGCTATTGGCTTGCTTGCGCTGTTCGAGAGTATGAGATTCTTCGTCCGTTGCTGGACGGCATTCGAGGCTCTAGCAGATGGTGTACGAGGGGTAGAGGCAGAGCGTCTACTCTTTCCTCGTCGTCCACTGCGAGCATTTCGAGAGATGGGTGGTTGGTGGTACCATCGTTCAGGGACATATAACGCGCACTGCGTTCAGTGACGTATAACGTGGTGTTGTCGTCGTTCAGGGACATATAACGCACACTGCGTTCAGTGATGTATAACGTGGCGAAAGGTGAAAACGAATAAACGAACAAACGAATAAACGAAGTGGGATATTATAGCAGGCCTTCCCAGGCGAAGAGGTGACTTAGTTGTAATGTGACCGTGTGGAGTGAACCACTGCTTGCTGTGATGAATACGGAGTCAAACGGAAACTGCTATATAGAGCGAACAACTAAGTGAGGAAGGAAGAGAGTTTCAGAGGAACAGAAGCTTATATACAGGCTGCCAGCAGCACGCACGTGCCGTGCTGCTACACGTGATCTGCCCCCAATTCCTCCAACTCCGTAACAAAAAGGTTAAATTAATTTAATAACTAACGTATAAGCTAGAAATAATAAGCTTAATTATATTATCGTTATAATATACTAGTTAAATAACGAATTTTTACTTAAATTAATAGTTCTTAATATTATTAAAGTAATAAATCCTTTATATAATAGATCTATTCTAGTAGCTAAACTTTTAGAAGTTATAAATTAGCTTAATATTATATATTTAATTCTTTTAATTACTTATAATAATACCTTACTAAATAATAGTATACTAGACGATTTTAAGGTACAAGTAGCTTATTTATAGGATTTATTATTAGAGGAACAGTAATTAAAATATATACTTAAGTTTAATTATATTAATAATAATTAACGTTATTATGTAACTTATGTATATATATAACCTTAGAGTTTAAGCTAGTAAGTTTATAAAGTTCTACGCTAGTTCTCTAGTAGTTTCTCTTAAAAATTATATATTTATTAGTATTTTACTAATAACTTTATAAGCTTTAAAGGTTATTAAATTAGTTCCTCGATAGTATAATTCCGAATATATTCTACTAACTAACTAAGCTATAGTATGACTATATAACGCCTATAGTAAGGTCTAGGAACTTAATATCTTTTATAAGCTCTAATACCTTTATTTTATATTTAAAATAAGGAAGATTCTACGCGTAGAACTTAAGAGTGTAACCGTGTGGAGTGAACCACTGCTTGCTGTGATGAATACGGAGTCAAACGGAAACTGCTGTATTGAGCGAACAACAAAGTGAGGAAGGAAGAGAGTTCCAGAGGAACGAGAGCTTAAATACAGGATGCCAGCAGCGCGCACGTGACACATACTACATGCTGCGCTACACGTGATCAACCCCTAGTTCCTCCAACTCCGTAACAAAGAGATCTTATTAAATTAAAAGGATTAACTTTATTAAGTTAGTATATAATATACCTATAAGATAGAATTCTACTAATCGAATACTAACTACCGCGCTAAAGATAGCTCCTACAATTAAGTCCGTCTTATTGTGACGAAACCGGTATCTAACTGAAGGTATCGAGTTCGAAGGTTGGTATGCGAAGAGAGAAGACAATATATCACTGTGTGTTTGCTTGGAAGCAAACTCGTCACTTGTACAAAGTCGTCAAAGTCAAAAGGTATTCATAACTGTGTAAACTAAGTTGAGCACGAAGCTCCTATCTAATGGCAGACGTGCCAGTCTTATATAGAACCTTCATGTTCTGCCATCGCCAGCATCGCCTGTCGATACTGGCGATGCAAATGGTCACGTGATTACAATGTAATGAAATCCCTGGATCGCTTATGATAGTGCTCAACCTGTCAGGGCGCCGCCTGGTCTTCACTCATCACATGCTCAGACGTGATTCGTGACACTTATATAAATAGGAGTAGAATACTTCTATTAAATAATATAAGACTCTAGATAAGAATAATTAAATAACCCTTAAGTAAATAGCTCTCTTTTTTAATCTCTTTTATTATTCGATAGTTAAAATATAACTTAAGCTAAAAAGTATTCTATATTTTATAACTTAATACTAGAATATCTTTACTTAAAAGGTTAACTTAATATATAGGTAATAGATATAGATAATAAGTAACTAATTATTAAAGTCGTAGTAAAAGCTACTTTAACTAAGATAAACAAGTACTATAATCTTTATATAGCGACCTAGTAAGTATTAGTAGGAATAATTTATAATCTATAATATAAACTTCGAGCTTTTAAGTACTTCTACTATATAGTAGAAGGTATAGAAGCGCTAGATTATAAAAAGGTAAAGGTATATTTTAAGTATACCTATAAATAATATAAAGATTATACTAATAAGCTTACTTAGTTTTATAATCGCTATACTTATAAGCTAGTAATTCTAGCTTAAGTTAATAAATCTAATAAATCCGAAGTAGGTAAGAAAGAAGTGTTAC